TTAAAAGAACCAAATACTTAAACTACTTCAGTCTGTGTGCATTGAATTTATTTAATACACGAGTTTCACAATTTGAGTTGAATTACTGAAATAAAGGAACTTTTCCACAACATTCTAATTTATTGAGATGCACCTGTAAACATAGAACTGTGAGAAATAAACATAGAACTGTGAGATATAAACAGAATTGTGAGGAATAAACATAGAACTGTGAGATATAAATGCAGAATTGTGAGATATAAACAGAATTGTGAGATATAAATGCAGAACTGTGAGATATAAATGCAGAACTGTGAGATATAAATGCTGAATTGTGAGATATAAATGCAGAATTGTGAGATATAAACAGAATTGTGAGATATAAACACAGAATTGTGAGATATAAACACAGAATTGTGAGATATAAACACAGAATTGTGAGATATAAACACAGAATTGTGAGATATAAACACAGAATTGTGAGATATAAACACAGAATTGTGAGATATAAACACAGAATTGTGAGATATAAACACAGAATTGTGAGATATAAACACAGAATTGTGAGATATAAACACAGAATTGTGAGATATAAACACAGAATTGTGAGATATAAACACAGAATTGTGAGATATAAACACAGAATTGTGAGATATAAACACAGAATTGTGAGATATAAACACAGAATTGTGAGATATAAACACAGAATTGTGAGATATAAACACAGAATTGTGAGATATAAACACAGAATTGTGAGATATAAACACAGAATTGTGAGATATAAACACAGAATTGTGAGATATAAACACAGAATTGTGAGATATAAACACAGAATTGTGAGATATAAACACAGAATTGTGAGATATAAACACAGAATTGTGAGATATAAACACAGAATTGTGAGATATAAACACAGAATTGTGAGATATAAACACAGAATTGTGAGATATAAACACAGAATTGTGAGATATAAACACAGAATTGTGAGATATAAACACAGAATTGTGAGATATAAACACAGAATTGTGAGATATAAACACAGAATTGTGAGATATAAACACAGAATTGTGAGATATAAACACAGAATTGTGAGATATAAACACAGAATTGTGAGATATAAACACAGAATTGTGAGATATAAACACAGAATTGTGAGATATAAACACAGAATTGTGAGATATAAACACAGAATTGTGAGATATAAACACAGAATTGTGAGATATAAACACAGAATTGTGAGATATAAACACAGAATTGTGAGATATAAACACAGAATTGTGAGATATAAACACAGAATTGTGAGATATAAACACAGAATTGTGAGATATAAACACAGAATTGTGAGATATAAACACAGAATTGTGAGATATAAACACAGAATTGTGAGATATAAACACAGAATTGTGAGATATAAACACAGAATTGTGAGATATAAACACAGAATTGTGAGATATAAACACAGAATTGTGAGATATAAACACAGAATTGTGAGATATAAACACAGAATTGTGAGATATAAACACAGAATTGTGAGATATAAACACAGAATTGTGAGATATAAACACAGAATTGTGAGATATAAATGCAGAATTGTGAGATATAAATGCAGAATTGAGAAATAAATGCAAAATTGTGAGAAATAAATGCAGAATTGTGAGATATAAATAGAATTGTGAGATATAAACAGAATTGTGAGATATAAACAGAATTGTGAGATATAAACACAGAATTGTGAGTTATAAATGCAGAATTGTGAGATATAAATGCAGAATTGCAAGAAAACAGACTAAACTATGAGATAAAAAGCCACAATTAACTTTTTAATGTTTTCCCATGGTACCAACAGGCTTCAATACTTATGCTCACCATGGCTACATTTATTTGATCAAAAACACAGAAAACAATTATACTGTAAAATATTATTACAATCCAAAATAATTGTTTTCTATTATAAAATAGAATCTTCTGGATGTCAACGATTTTTCACTGAGCTCCACTGTTCAAAAGACACCCACAGAGAACAAATAAAA